CTGAGTTAAAACTCCAGGTTCTCCCTCCTCTGTGGTAGATAGCTGCCGAAATCTCTGTTCAGTAATCTTAGCCTTGTCTGGGCTGCTTGGAGTGGGCCACACCGATACATACCTCAGATGTCAGGAAGAGATATAAGCAAAGTTTATACTTGGAATTTGAGGCTTTCCCTCGCTGGCTCTTTCTTTCATTACTTTCCAGCAGCTCTGATCACTCCAAATTCTGCCCTGTGTTCTCCATATAAACTCTGTATTCAGCCAATAAGACTGAGCGTTTCTATCCTATTTTATTTTAAGCATCCTGTATAGTTTATCCTCTGGCTAAAAGCCATATTAAAAAAAAATCAGAAACTCACCTAATTTTATTCCCTTCTTTCAAGTCTAGATCCCACTACTCTAGTTTGGGCCTATTTGTGGTCTTTCTCCAATGCTTTCAGATCTTTTTAATGTTTTTGTCTTGGGTTTACAGTTGTCTGTGTATAGATTGGTATGATGGGAGCTACTTGGCCAGTGGTAGAAGTGGAAACACATAATATTTCTTCTTTAAAAATAGTTTTCTTGAATATATGCTTGTATTTGCATGACTGGGATATTGTGCTGTACTCCAGAGGTTGACACATTGTAACTGACTGCACTTCAATCAAAAAAACAAATAAGTTGTAAAAAATAGCTTTTCCTGTAGGAACTCAGATTTCTTGAGAAGCATTTATTTCAATATCTTTATCATACACAAAAGCATGTAGTATTGTATTCTTTCCCATTCTCCAGATAATGAAGCAGAATGTATACAGTTTTCATGATCCTAAAATGAAAGTGTAGCCATAGAAATAACATTTACGTGCTCCCTTGCTGATTCTCATAAGATCTTGAGGATGCTCTACACATGTTTATTGAAAATGGAAAGACATTGAATGCTCAATTTCTCATGGAAATCAGTAGAAGGCAATTCTACTGTATAGCAGAAGAGCATGGCGTTGGAGTCACATGGACGTCAGATTAGGGTTCTGCCACTTACAGCTGTCTTGACTTTGTACAAATTTAAGTAATTTTAAATTAAAGTTGTAACCTCTCTGAGCCTCCGTTTCCCTATCACTAAATGAGACACCTTTTATAGTTGTAACAAATGACACTCACTA